CTCGCAGTGCCGTCCATCGCAACAGCAACTAGAGCGGCTACTGGGTACCATGTACACCTTTCCCACGCGGTATCACCTCATCATTCACGGCGTCCTCACGTCCCTGACCGACGGGGTTCGACGCACTGCCATCCCGACCACCCGGGCTCAGCCTGTGGGCCGTGTGGTCCGGCTCTGCTTCATCTTGTTGCAGGTATTGCCACAGGAACACGAGTCCCTTACCATCGAGTTTATGCGCCACATCCACCCAGCTGTGAACGACATCTTGGCCAACGGCGTCCCTGAAATGAAGTAGAAGTGTGTGTTGTTATTGATGTATTGCTACATGTCCGAATGAACCCCCGAAACCCAAATTACATGCTCTCATTTATTTGACGTTTATCATGACGGTCCCCTGTTCTGGCTTGCATGGCATGCGGGGCCGTGTCGGCGGTACCACAGCCCCTGTGTTACCTGTCCGGCGTACGTGGTTGGGGTTTGGAGAACACTCGCATTCCCGTGTATCACGCCTCCGACTGGCGCACGGCCCCATGCACTTGGGTCTATATGCCGGCGGAGTTGGTGCCAGCGGGCGATCAAGGGTCGTTGTTACAATGGATCCACCGGGCTTGGCGTTCCGAAGGTGACTTACTTGGCGCGGGTGTTCGGGTGGGTATTTTCCACTGATGATTCGACTTCCTGTACGGACATTACGGGCCCGCTGGTCTTTGACGTGTTCAAGCGAATGTCCCAGTGCGGTAGGCGTGGCGCAGAAGGTGTCGTTCACCAATATTTGGATCAGTGCGTCACCAGCGATAATGGCGATTCCCTCGCGGCTGTCATGGGCCAGGAAACAGCGTCCAATCAAGTGAACGTCACTGGACACACCACGCGGGTATTTGATTTGGAGTCATTGCTTCAAACCGGTGCACCGTCACGGCAAACACATACAATCGAGGTGACGCCCCCTTTGTCAGCCACGCTGATAATGAACATGGGCACATGTGTACTTGATCCCGAAGTGCCGCTCGAATTATCGGTGGCAATTGATGCCACTACAGCCGTGAATATCACCGCGCGAGGGCGCCAAGGTGATAGACGCGTCGCGCCTCATTCACTCTGTCAGAACCACACTCTCTTTCCAACGCACTCAGCCAGACTTTCCAAAATGAAAACAAACTCTCCATTTTCAAGTTTATCTGTCCGTTTCATGACGGGATGGCCCGAGGGGCGGTGGATGGGCAGCAAGCGCTGGCGGTGATGCGGCAGTGGCGATGGTTGGCCTTTATTGTTTTGATGGGGATTGGGCGAATTTGGCTTGAGGTGCGGCAGCATGAGCAGGCCCGGGATATGGAGGGCATTTATGTTCAAACGTATCAGTTTGAGGAACAGCTCAAGTATGTCGACGCCTTTAGCGCTGACCTGAACACATGGCACGGGGAGATATGCAGGAGACGGATGGCAACGGTGCTCAGTTGAAGGGTGTGTGTATGTGTGTGTGTCGTCTTGTAGGCAGTGTGAAAAGTCGGAACGCCATACCGAGGCTGAGCTTGCGGCGCTGCGACAAGAGCGGCGTGCTCTGATGAAGCAGATCAACAGTACGCGCGAGAGAGCCGAACAGCGATATGAGGCCCTTGGCACGAGCATGGTTGGATGTGCCATGGATCGCTGACAAGCACTGGACTGGGCCCTTTTTTTTTTTTTTTTCGGTTCTAGAGCGCACAATGGAAGATGTCGAGGGTTTCAAGGAATGCACCGAGGAACAGGAAGCACTCAATCGTAGGTGTTTGAGCCAAGCGTCAGCTTTGTCGGGACCACCGAACCGGATGCGAGCACGTCTCATCGCCTCTGGCACGCAGGCATCTACATGCAAGAGCAATACATTCACAATCGACTCGATGCGTACGTGAGCGGCACGGCGTTTGACCGAATTCCTCTGGATGCGGCGGCAGCCGTGGGCATTTTGCAACGTACGCGCGATGCCAGCTCGTTCACGTTTTTTTGCACGCCTGACCACGGATGAATGAGGTCAACTGCACCTCACCAGCACACTCACGCAATGACATTGTTCACCAATTTGGGTAGGACGGTCGGCGGCCGGGGTGTGGAGCGAGTTTCCATCGATGGATGATCTGCGTAATCTACTGATCGCATCGGCCAGCCACGCGCTGGGTGTACCGGAAAACCGACTGCAAGCGTTGGACACGGAGGTCATTGCGGCGCTCATCATCGACCCGGAGGCGTTGCGGCTTGGCATCGATGAAGGCGTCCAAGCCCACCGCCGCAGCGTGCCCGGCGAGCCGCCCGACCTTCCCGCTGACCTTGTCTAGTCGAGTTTGTGGCTAATGTCTAGTCTAGCTGATGTCCAAAGCCATGTCGCCGTTCGTGTTCTGCTGGTGCGAGTCCGGTGTGTGTCCAATGGTTGATTGAATCCCCGAGCCATGGGTGTTGGAAACTCTGTTTGCTGCGCAAAAGAGCTTTCCGGGCTGGCTTTGCCGACCCATGCCAGGTTGAATGTTTGAGCGTGAGTTGTGTTCTTTTGCACAGGGCTGCCGCATGTGACCGATGGGCCCTCACATGGTGCTGCCAATTTACGCGCCTCCAATGCCTTTGAACGCCATATTTACAATGTGGCTCACAACACTGCATTTGGGAAAAAAAAAAGAAGGAAGAAACAGCAAAGGTTGCCCGGGGGGCACGCCCACGAGCCAGAATGAGAAGCCATGAGCTGCTCTGTACTCGGCACCACCGTCGCCCTCCTAGTCAACAAGCGAGCCTGACGCCCGCCGTCAACATAACATGCCCCTACGGAGAAGAATAAGGTAAGGCGAGATCAGATAACAGAAGAGAGAGAGAGAGAGAGAGCAGAGAGACAAGAGAGACAAGAGCCAAGAGAGAGAGACGAGAGAGAGGGAAGAGACGAGAGAGACGAGAGAGACAGAGAGAGCGAGCGAATCGCAATCCTCTCGCCACTTGGCGTCATCGTCCCATTTTGTTTCCATAGCATAACGTTCGTCACACTTTATATACTCGAAGTGCAACATACGTCACACTTGAGCAGGTAAGATCAAACACACACGAGAGAGAGAGAGAGAGAGAGAGAGAGAGAGAGAGAGATTGGATTTCTTCGTCTTCTTCGTTTGTTTGAGTGTTCACGTGTGAAGCTAACGTTGTGGGTGGAGTTACACGTCTCTGGAAACGAGACGGACTGACCCCATCTCCCTGTTATCAACTCGTATTAGATCAAAATCTCTGTGATTGGCACTCGTTTTGCGTTGTGTTATCTTTCAAAATCAACACCATCTCTGGATTCTTCTTCAGCAAACCGTGTACCTCTGATCAAGCTCGCGCCTGGGTCGTAGTGTCTGCACTTTTCCTTTCAAGAGGTACACAGTGACGGCGACGCGCGCAACGGCAGTGGCAGTGGCAGTGGCACACGGCGCACTGGCACTGGCGCTGGCACTGGCAGCCTTGGAAGCCCGCCGTGCATTTCTGCGCATCATTGCTTGCTTGGTGGTCGACAATCTTCCTCTCTCTCGCCGTCTCTCGCTGTGTCTCTTCCTCTCTTCCTCTCGCAGGTTCTTGGCGGCAGCCAGTGGCGCTGTCTGGTCATTGCGTCGCAATGTCCGTGGGCTTCCCCGATCGTTGGTACTCACCTCTTTGTGCCCGGTGCTTTGTTGCGGATGGGGATGGCGTTGTAGCTCGGTTTCTTTCCTCTCTCTCATCACCCATCAAGATGCTGTCTCGTGTGGCTGCTGCCTCCACCCTTCTTCGCCGCGTGCCCGCGGTCGCTTCTGGGCGCCATGCCTCCTCCATCACCCTCAGCGCCGACGGCCAGCTGCAGGTTGGTGACCGCCCCGGGGATCACGCTTTTGACAGCTTCATTCTCCTGCACCGGAACACACGACGCCGTTTTTTTTCAAGCGCATTGTTACTCGCCGGCTCTTCAGTCTGATCCTTGTGCCTGCACGCGCTCTTGATTGGCTCACGTTTCTGGCCCCTTTTCCTGCCCTACCCACCACCCCTAGGTGCCCAACGATCCCATCATTCCTTTCATTGAGGGTGATGGTACCGGTCCTGATATCTGGAAGGCTTCCCAGTACGTCCTGGATGGTGCCGTCGAGAAGGCCTACGGTGGTGACCGCAAGATTGAGTGGCTCGAGGTCCTCGCCGGTGAAAAGGCTTTCCGCCAGACCGGTTCGTCTGTCCGCTTCAACTCGGCCTGGCTTTGCATCTGGCCCTCAAACACGCTCTTTCGTGGATCAAGCCCATTCCCACGCGCCAATCTGACCGCCTCGTGATCTTGCTCCCTCAAACAGGCGAATGGCTGCCCGCTGCCACCCTCGATGCCTACCGCCAGTACCTCGTCGGCATCAAGGTCCGGTTCCACCCCTGGAATGCTTGCCCACTGCTCTTGCTCTTGAGCGTCTCTCGCTCGTTTGTCGTATACCGTGCATCATCGCTTTGCTGCCTCGACCTTCGTACACATGCTTGCTCTCACCTGCTCCTGGATGCCGAATCATCTTACACCATAGGGCCCTCTTACCACGCCCGTCTCTGGCGGTATCCGGTGTGTTGTCTTGATGATGACCGCTCTAGTGCTAGTGCCATCCCTCTTTATCACCTGTTCACTGACTCATTGTCTCATCCCCCATCAACTCTCAGCTCCCTGAACGTCGCTCTGCGCCAGGAGCTCGACCTGTACGTCTGCCTCCGCCCCGTCCGCTATTTCAAGGGTGTGCCCAGCCCCGTGAAGAAGCCTGAGGATGTTGATATGGTACGCCCCCCATCCCGGTTGTTTTCTGCCCATCCATCCCGTTGGCATATACACGCCCACCTCTCGCTCGTCCATGCTCATGACTGCCTCCTTCCCAGGTCATCTTCCGCGAGAACACCGAGGACATTTATGCCGGTATTGAGTTTGAGGCCGAGTCCCAGGAGGCCAAGGAGCTCGTTTCCTTCCTCGAGTCCAAGGGTGTGGCCAAGAAGATCCGCTTCCCCAACTCTGCGGGTCTAGGCATCAAGCCCGTCTCCCGCGAGGGTACCTCTCGTCTTGTCGAGGCGGCCATCGAATACGCCCTTGAGAACGGTCGCAAGAACCTCACCCTCGTGCACAAGGGCAACATCATGAAGTTCACCGAGGGTGCCTTCAAGGCCTGGGGCTACCAGGTCGCTGTCGAGAAGTTCCGCGACCAGATTGTCACCGAGCGCGAGAGCTGGATCCTGGGTAACCTCGACGACGGCATCACCGATGTTGTGCAAAACTGCCAGAAGATTGAACCTGGCTACGACATGATGACCGATGGCCAGCAGCAGACCCTCCAGAAGGAGGTCTCGGATGTCATCAAGGCCATTGGCGCCACCCACGGCAAGGGCCAGTGGAAGAACAAGCTCATTGTCAAGGACACCATCGCCGATATCACCCTCCAGCAGGTCCTGACCCGTGCCAAGGACTTTGACGTCATTGCCACCATGAACCTCAACGGCGACTACCTCAGCGACGCCCTCGCTGCCCAAGTCGGCGGCATTGGTATTGCTCCCGGCGGTAACGCCAACTTCAAGACCGGCCATGCTATCTTCGAGGCCACCCACGGTACCGCCCCCAAGTACGCCAACCTCGACAAGGTCAACCCTGGCTCTGTCATCCTCTCCGGTGAAATGATGCTTCGCCACATGGGCTGGACCGAGGCCGCTGATCTGATCATCAACTCCATGGACAAGACCATCGCCGACAAGACCGTCACCTATGACTTTGAGCGTCTCATGGACGGCGCCAAGCTTCTCAAGTGCTCCGAGTTTGGCAAGGCTCTCGTTAAGAACATGTAAATGCCTTCTCACCCTTACAATCACGCGTTGAAGTTTACTGCATGCTAAACAGAAACAACAACAACAACAACAACTCTTCCTGCCTGTGATTATCACACAACTTTCCTTCCCCCCCCCCCCCTTTTTTTTTTGTTTTTCTTTTCCGTTGCCGACAAAGCTTTGCGTGGCAGCAGCCGAGCAATTGAGCTGCAGACTCCAAACCTTTACTCAAGGCTGTTTTGTTTCTTTTTTTTTTTGTTTTTTTTGTTTTTTTTGTTTGTGTTGTTGTGTTTGCTTCTCACACACGACCCGTCCTGTGTCGAACAACCCAAAGCTCAGACGAGGACAAAAGAGTATTGGATTTGCGTGGTCAAGCACCATACCATTGGCAGTCAAGTGGCTGGCAAAGCTTAAAGAGGCAGCACGTCAGGTTTAATACAAAGATACCACGAGGCGCTGACTCGGAATCAGGAGTGTTGACAAGAGCGTAACACATTCAAAGACGTTGCTCGTCGCGCACGCGAAGCACCACCGGTACTATATGGGTCAGGCGGGACATGAGAAAAGAAGAGGGGCAAACGACAATGTGCAGATCTAGGCGAGGGCCACAGACCTGAGGTGCAAGGAATCATGCCAATTTCGGTGACCACCATGTCGACAAAGGACGAAGGCGTCAGGTCGTGCACTACAAAGCAGACGCAGCAAGCAAGGTAAGAAATGCACGCGATACCAGGACACCCCGTCATCGATCGTATCCTTAGATGGGAGCGTACCAAGGTTGAGAAGTTTGAGGCTCGGCACGTCCTGCCAGCCAACTAGTCGATTTTGGTTGTCGGGTGCCTTGGCCAGATCCGTGGGGTCACCCAGCTCATTGGTTACGATCGAGTCGGTCTGTACACGCTCGCAAAACTGTGCATCATCAAGGTTCACACACAATGTTAGGAGTGGTAAAAGGGAACAGTATGGTGAATGACAAGGCGCGAATGATCGGATGATATATTTGTGGCATGGTGGCATAAGCAGACCTTGTATGTTTCGCAGCAGAGCAGAACGGGTACGTTGTAGGCCTTGGCCATCATGGCAATCATACTGCTGCCGATGGCGCCCGTAAAGTAGCCGTTGGCCAGCAGGGCCTCGGCGCTGAGAAAGACCTTGGAGATCTATGTTGACAAAAAGAAGGATAAGTCAGCGTGTGGGCTCGGCAAGCCATGGACCGAAGCTACGACGCTCAAGTCCGCAGGTCATGCGAATCAGGTGAATACTAACGTTGCGCATAACATATGAGATGGCACTGATGAGAATGTAGGTGCAAGGAATGCCCAAAGTCGCAAGATATTCAGCAGTCTTGCGGCCAGACATGGAGGGACGAGAGTCGACGACCACGACTTGAAATTGAACGCCAGCTTTGTGAGCATCACGCAAGACGCGATTCAAGAGGACAGAGGCACCGTGAACGAGCAGGGTGTCGCCGTTGTTGATCTTGTTGCAGGCGTGCTCTGAGATCATGGCGTGCGCCAAGATGACACATTCGCGAATGTAATTGTCAATCCACTCAATCACAATGTCCTTGGCCTGTGCCTCGGGCGTATCAGCTGGAATGTCCTCACTGATAGTGCGCTTGAGGGCCTTGATGGCGTTGCCCATGGACGTGGACAATGGTCGGCACTGTGTCAGAAAGCTTCGGGTCAAATGCAGGAGAAGATGCGAAGTGAGTACGGGCCAAATGTTGGGTATGGCAACAAACGAAAGTCTGAAGATGGCGACAAACCTGATGGCGGGGTTGAGGCTGTGCGTGAGATCACGGGACAATTCCTTGCCATCGGGTGTGCTATAATCCTTGACCAGTTCCTAAATGAACGTGGACCCAAGCAATGCCGCCAAAGTTGGAATGGAATGAGCGGGTCTAAAATTAAGGGCCAAGGAGCGAGCATCATGCCCGCGAGGGGGCCAGACCTTGATGGCGTAGAGAAGCTGAACGCAGCGCATGGTAGATCCCTCAACCAGCCCCTCGGACATTTGCAGGCCCAGACGCAGGATTGCAGGATGAACAGCAGGGTAGCGATCAAACCTGCCCCAAACGAAAGAAAGAGGTGAAGGAAGATCAAGTCAATGGAAAAAAAAAAAAAAACAGAAAATAAAATGAATCAAAAAAAAAATGGAACGATAGCAGACCAAGACCACCGGGGCTCGTACTTGATAAATTGGGTCAGGCTGGCCGAGTGCTCGTATTGCTTGAGATGTGAAAAGAAGGAAACTTGTTTCTGTTTTGTCTCACGTTCGGGCACCTTTTGGCGGGCCAGGCTCTTGCTGATTTGTTTTTGCTTCTTCATGCTATCACCCATGCTGCTCACAGACTGCAGGTGGGTTGCAAAAATGGGTGAGGCAGGCATGATAAAAGCCAGAAAATGACGTGACACTGGGCGGGCCTCAAAAGCCAATGGTAGAGATGCGTACGCTCGTGCTTTTCTTATTTTTCTTTGAGCCAGCACCAGCCGCATGGCCGCCTTCGGCCGCAGCCTTGCGCGCGGCCTTTTCGGCTCGCTGGGCTTCTTGAAGGGCACGTCGCTCGGCCTTTGAGCCAGCTGGCTTCTTTTTCTTGCCAGCTTGTGGCACGGGAGGTTGTGCTGGTGCCTGACAGAGCCGGGGGAAGCACCAGATCATATTGTGAGGTGAAGCCTGAGCCAAAGAACAGGCTGGCGTGGCGTGCGGAACCAGAGCGCATGGGCCTACGTCAATGGTGGCTGACGCGGAAGGTGTGCGACCACCGGGCAGGGCGGTGGCTGCGGCAGCCTGAGCTTCGTCCTGTCAAAGGAGATTGACGAGCGGATGAGCGGGATTTTCGGTGTCGACACGAGATTTGAGGAAGTGATGGAAAAGTAAAAGAAAAGAGGCCTGGGCACTCACGGGATTGGAGGAGAGGGATACTTCGCGGCTGCGACCAGTCGTGCCTACAGGGCCGGGATTGTCCGTCTGCGGGACGGCGAGGATGGTCTGAGCGATGCGCAAGCAAAAAAATCTTTCATGGGCAGGCAGACGGGCACCAACCTTGGTGGTGAGACTTCCAGGGCCAAATCCCACGACGGTTCGCTTGGGTTGGCTGGGCACCGACAGAGCAGGCGTGGAGGCCATGGCGACGAC